TCAGGACAACAGAAAATGGCGATCGACGTTGCATTTAAATCCCTGACGTTTGTAGTTATCAGAAGAGCATATAAGAGGGAGGGAATTACAACACTGAGAAGTGCACATAAAGAAAATATTAGAGTAAAAGTGACGGTTAAATTTAACTATTTAAACAGTAAATGAATGTGACCTACATAGAGTAAATTCATGTAGTCATGGCCACAGGGAGAAAAGCTCGACAGAGCAGTTATTTCCATCAAAATATTTGTAGAAAAGACAGAAGGATCCGCATCTCGTCTGAGAGAAAATGATTGATGTCAGGATCGATTATTTTGTAGATTTATTTGGAATTTTTACGACCTCGAGATGATCAGCAGGGGCACTAGCCCAAAGATGACATCAATATTCAGTGCACGAACGAATAGTATATTTGTAGATGTCTAACATGGAATCTGACGAGAAAAAACCTTCTGGCACGTTATAATGAACCAACTTTCCTTGTAGCTATCGATTCAATGTAGACGTTCCACTTCAAGTCAGTCGAAGACGTGAGGTCATGAAAGAGTTAAAAGCCATTTTCGGCTCCCGTTAACACTGATTGGACGTCCTTTTTGAGAGCAGCGACCAGGTTAACTTTTTCAGCGCTGACGGTTATAGAATAAATGGTAGTGTCATCTACATAGATGCCTACTTAGGAACTGATGACATCACGAAGATCATTGATGAAGATGAGAAAACGTGTAAGACCAAGGATAGAGTATTGGGAACACCAGCATTCTTGTGAAAAGATCTGGAAAGGAGCCTGATTATAACGACATTCACTTCACGTTTAGATAGTAATTTTTGGATTAATTTTAATAATTCTCTTATAATACCGTAGCACTGAAGCTAGCGTAGAAGACCAGCATGCCTAACCCTTTTAAATTACTTCGAGTTATTTAGAGCCTAAGCTTTGCTGTAATTATCAAGAGCTTGATATATATATATATATATATATATATATATATATATATATATATATATATATATATATATATATATATTATTCCGTTATAACCGTATTTTTTTATCTGAGAGGTAAGATGCTCAACCAATTCAGCATTGCTTAAAGCCTCGAAGACATTGCTGAAAAACGATAGGAGACAGTAGTTGGAGGAGTTAATAGATTCTCCAAAGTTCTTAAAGACAGAAATTATAGAGGAGGAGTTCCAACAAGCCGGGAAGCAGGAAGCAGCGATGTGATAGTTTTATGTGGGGCACATTTCTTTAGGCAGACAGCTGGTACTCAGTCACAGCTTGTATCCAGTCACAACCATTTCCATATTGGAGAACATTTCTTTAAGATGACAGCTTGTATCCAGTCATAACCATTTCCATATTGGAGATTTTTTTTTAAATGACAGCTGGTATCCAGTCATAACCATTTCCATCATGGAGAACATTTCTTTAGGATGACAGCTGGTATCCAGTCACAACCATTTCCCTTGTGGAGAATATTTCTTTAAGATGACAACTGGTATCCAGTCACAACCATTTCCCTTATGGGAGTCTAATTGTGAAATGATGTCCAAGACCTACGACGGAAATACACGCATATTACTCTGTAGAGCATAATTTCTAGGAGGTAAATCAGGTGTGAGGCATCCAGATGGGTCGGATAAGAATTTCCGAGCAAAACATTCAACGTTATCGTCTGTAGATGTCAGGTCTTCGAATTGATTGAATAGGAGAGGGAGTCAGGATTTTGTATTGTTCAGCACATTCTTGAAGAGCCACCAATAGTCTTTAGAAGCAAACTTACGAGATGCAATACATTGTTTCATTCTATCATCCAACAGTAACTTTGCTTCATTGAGGGCAGGCGTGTAATCATGTCGACGGAGAGCCAGAGTGAGGTTTGTTGCAATCAGAGACGTCGCTTCGGTACAACCGGAAGAAGTTATTTCTGTGAGCCTAGAATGCAGGTGGGAATAAGGAGATGAATACATTTTAACTTGGAATTTTTTTGCTTGAATGAAATCAGCGATGACGGCTTTCACCCAGGCGGAGACCTCGGGGATAAAATTTTGAACCTGAAGATTTTAAACTTCATTCCAATTGACTTTAAGAGGGAAATTACGGAATGAGTCCCAATCAACCCGATTATAACAGAAAGATATTCTGTTCGTGCGAGTTTCTTGGCTGTTAGGTGGAGTAGAAGTTTACAGGCACTACCTCACGAACAGAGTGGCCAAGTAAGACAAGGGGTAAAAAAAGAGATCGAGAAGAGAAGAGTTTCTGTCAGGTTTACTGGGGAAACGCGTAGAGAAGTGAACCACTTTCGTGGGTGACTGAATAATGGGAAAGTTAAGGGTTCGGATGCCAGTGAGGTCTATGAGTTTGAGTTTAAGCCACCAGTAGAGTGGGCATTAAAGTCACTGTGCACGAATAAGTTTGCAAATCGATGTATGGAGATGAAAATTTCCATATTAGAAATGCTATCTAGCACGCAACGGTGCGAGAGAGAGAGATAGAGAGAGACAGAGTGAGGGGAAGGACAGAGAGAGAAAGATGAGGGGAGGGACAGACAGAAAAAGAGATGAAACAATGGTCTGAAGATTCAAGAGAGAGTTCTCGAGCGAGCGGGATATTGTTCGCGCACATAAACAATACCACACAGGAGAAACTTGAAAAGAAGTTACTATCAATTATATATATATATATATATATATATATATATATATATATATATATATATATATATATATATATAGTTTTAAAAACTAGGAAACCATTGATTTTAATATTAAAAGTCTCTAGAGCCCTTTCAAGTATATATACTTGTTCGTTATTTTAGTGTGTTTCCCCCTCTTTTTTGCTCTTCAATATCGCTATTATTCATTTCGCTAATCCAACGATTGTGTCCTGATGAGATGTTGGCTGAAAGGGCTCTAGAGACTTTTAATATTAAAATCAATGGTTTCCTAGTTTTTAAAACTATTTATAAATTTTGTACCTCCAAACATTTGTTTATATATATATATATATATATATATATATATATATATATATATATATATATATGGAGTAGTTGTGTTTTTGTATATATTACTGAACACGTTATATTTCGTGGGTACTAAGTTGAGTAGACATTAGCATTTCATAATCAAGTAAATTAACGTCTAACTCACGAGAATTAAAAGTGTAAGATCGTAATCCCAAGTCTGTCATACAATTTTCATGACTGAGTTCATAGGCTAACATCACCAAACCCTAATCAAAATGTTACTTTGACATCACGTGATGATTGTGAAGCAAATTCGTCGCCACCCCAGCCCAAAAATGTCTCTTCTGATGTTCTATAATTAAGATGATATGCATCTTGTAATCATTTTATAATTCATGAGTTAATTGTGCGAGAAATTATGACAGAATTGATGACAAACCTCAGCTTCTCCATAGAAAAATGAAATAACCAAGGAAATGCAGGTACATCTGAATGTGAGAAATGGTTTTTGCTTTGGTTTTATATTGATCGAAGGCCGAATATTATCGTTGTTTGTTGGAGTCAAAGTATCACGTATTCTGTCATCGGCCCCTCATTATTCATGAGTTGCGCTTCTTTCTCAGCATTAAAATCACGAATAAAACAATCAATAATTTGTCAAAACAGTTAATAACTACTGACAAAAATTTCAGATATTTTTTACAAGAATATTAAAATGTCGAATGCAAAATCCACACATATCGACGAATACATACATTTATGTGTTTAGTGGTATGTCTTAATGTCAACGTTTACAGATTCATCCTCACAGTATTGACATTTGGAAGTGGTCCGCTCTGTAGACACACAACACACACAGATGTGTGTTTTTGTGCGTGTGTGAGCGTGTGTGAGCGTGTGTGCCTACTGAATGTATATATATATATATATATATATATATATATATATATATATATATATATTTATATAAATTTAAAATATGGTAAATTTAAAATAGGTATTTTCTTATATATATATATATATATATATATATATATATATATATATATATATATATAAAACATAAGTATTTTATGATATCATTAAAAAAGGCCATTTTATTTCAACTGTTCTTGTGTCTTGTCAAGTGAAGGTGTTGAGTGAAAGTATAAAGATTCGTCCTTTTATGTTACAATTTTTAAATAAATATATATTATTTGGCCTACTTAGTATTGAGCACTTCTAAAAATAGTGTTTACTGGTCATGCCATTTATATTGTATTTTTATATATATATATATATATATATATATATATATATATATATATATATATACTTTAAGAATTAAGAGATCAGTTGATTCCGCTACATTAGTATATCTTTAAAATCATCAGGCGATATTTAACATGAATTCATAAAAATTGCCACAGAATACCATAAGTTTGAAACCAAAGCAGTGGAATCAACTGATTTCATATTTTTAAAGTTAAAATTTCTAGTTTTCTTTTTTTCAAAATTTTTTGAACATTTATTAATAATTTTGATCCCTGGTCTGACCATTAACACACACACACACACATATCCTATCCCTTGTGGCTCTCAATAGGTTTTGTGTTTCTGATACCTCTCCCAGACCACGTTCTCTCATCCCCCTGCCCAAACCAGTCACGTATGTCATCCATTGCTTTCCATTGTCTCTTTCACCCTCTATTCGAATTGTGAGTGTCAGATACTCTAGGACATCCTTTCCCAATACGTGTCCTAGAAATTTCATCTGCCTTTTCCTTATGTTAAGCATAAGCTTCCTCCTTTGTTGTATTCTCTCCAACGCCTCATTGCCGCTCACATACTCGGTCTATGATATGCTTAGCACCCTTCTGTAGAACCAAATCTCCGCAAGTTCTAATCTCCTCTTTATCTTTGAGGATACTGTCCAACATTCGCCGCCGTATAGGAGGACAGTTGTCCCGTAGCAGCTCAGTACTCTTTTCTTTTCTGGACTATAAGATTAAAATAAACAGAGGGCGATCGTTCTTAAAACCAACAGAATCCAATGATCTATAACAGAAGTTCAATTTTTGCCGTTGTTAAGGCGGCCAATATTTGTCGGTAGAATTTTACATGACGAACTTTGATACATTTCATGTGTTATGCAGACCGTCCAATTCTTGTTTGTAAAACGAAGGATAACCGTTTGATACGCGTGTAGCGCTTGATTCGCAAGTTGAGACATCAAGATCCTAGCATGCTTTGTCTTTTTACTGATGAGAAAATCATTGCTCAAGACGAAAATTTCAACTGAACAGATTACTAACGTTCCAACGGGCATGCACACAATTTTTTCGAAAAATGTCATGGTTGTGTTAGACGTGACCAGCGACGCAGATATACATTCCTTTCTTCTGTCCTCGGGGCTTAAGCCTCAATGCTGTTGGAGAGTGCTCTTAGGTCTTGGATAGTGAACCGTCAAAGGAAAACATTACATCTACCAACAAAACACTGCGCCGTCTCAGAAGACCAAGACCTTACAAGAATGTATTACTTACAATCTTCATGATCATATCACCCCAAATATTAATGACCTCCAACATCTCCAAACTTGACACCACTGAGTTGCAGTCAAGAGGGAAGTAATGAACGCCGCTGTAACCCTATAAAATATCTAATGTCCTCCACAGCTAGTACATCGTCCGAAACAAATAAATATCATCTGATTCGGGTATGTCAACAATTCAGACGTTTTGAAGCAGCCATACATGGTAACGTTGAATCGATTTTGGAGGAATAGTCTCAAGAATATTTGTGGCAATATTTCACTAAGTTCACCTTACAGGGCTTATCCATCTTTTAATAAATTCATGCAAATAAGGTGAAAGAAATGATAAACTCTTGAAATTAATGATTTATTTCAGCTTGAGATCATGGCAGCTGTTGAAATTTAAGGAACAATGACCATATATTTTGTGTGGAGTTATCGAAAGATGTAGTTAATTTTGAGATGTACAAGAAAATCCACGAATGTAATGGAAGTAAGTCCATATCCTAGTCTGAATTTGCTAAATTATTAAAGTTATTGTTTGGAACTATACAGGGTTCACGCCATATATTGCATCTGTGCCTGTGTTCTGCTTTTGTCTCTGTACGTGTCTGTTTCTTCGTGGGTTTGTGACTATTCCTCTCTCTGCCTCCCTCTCTCACTCTCTCACTCTCTATCTCTCATACTCCCTCTCACTCACTCCCTTCCCGCTCTATTCACTCACTCGCCCTCTCTCTCATTCTCTCTCTCTCATCCTTTCTATATATCCCTTTGCATAATATCGTAAAATATATGATTTTTCTTTTACAAAATTGTTTTGTGAAAATGATTGGTGTATCGCTTACCAAATATTTCACAAAATATATATATATATATATATATATATATATATATATATATACATACATACATATACATATGGATGTATATATATATATATATATATATATATATATATATATATATATATATATATATATATATATGTATATATGTGTGTGTGTGTGTGTGTGTATTCACTAATAGATTGCTTTCATAAAAATAAATTAGAATTTTCAAGAAACCCTTTGAACTATCCATCGCTCCGATATGTGAATATCTAACATTAGAGAGATTATTGATTAAAAAGAAAAAATAGATGATTACATCATATTCATTTTTGTGTGAGATTTGATTTTTTTTTTCTGTGTTCCCTCGAAATGACAAAGGTTTTTTTTTTCTAATCATATTTTCATTTATAAACAGTCGAACATATTTAGATAAATGTCGACATTTTTTTTACTTTTTGGCTTGTAATACGGGATTAATAACCACTTTTATCCAATCGAAACGAAAATTTCTCGATTAAAGAAATTTGCGAGTTCAAGTATTTTTTTTATAATTAAATATGAATATATCCGAATATTCTTTCTCTAAGCCGTCAAGAAATATCTATCTATCTATCTATCTATCTATCTATCTATCTATCTGTTTATCTCAGTCTGTTTATCTATCTATCTATCTATCTATCTATCTATCTATCTCAGTCTGTTTATCTATCTATATATCTCATTCTGTTTACCATCTATATGTCCATCTCATCTTTTTATTATCTATCTATCTATCTATCTATCTATCTATCTCAGTCTGTTTATTATCTTTCTGTCTATCTCAGTATCTTTATCATCTATCTATCTATCTCAGTCTTTTTATTATCTATCTATCTATCTATCTATCTATCTATCTATCTATCTATCTATCTATCTATCTCAGTCTGTTTATTATCTATCTATTTATTTATCACAGTGTGCTTATTACCTATCTGTCTGTTTATTATCTATCTATCTATCTATCTATCTCTGTCTGTTTATTATCTTTCTGTCTATCTATCTATCTATCTCAGTCTTTTATTATCTATCTATCTATCTATCTATCTATCTCAGTCTGTTTATTATCTATCATATTTATTTATCACATCTATCTATGTATCTATTATTATCCTATCTGTCTGTTTATTATCTATCTATAAATATCTATATCTATCTATCTATCTCAGTCTGTTTCTATTATCTTTCTGTCTATCTATCTATCTATTTATCTATCTATTACCTATCTGTCTTTTTATCTATCTATTATCTATCTATCTCATCTATCTATCTATATCTATCTATCTATCTATCTATCAGCCTGTTTATTATCTTTTTTTCTATCTATCTATCTATCTATCTATCTCAGTCTTTTTATTATCTATCTATCTATCTATCTATCTATCTATCTATCTATCTATCTATCTATCTATCTATCTATCTCAGCCTGTTTATTATCTATCTATTTATTTATCACAGTGTGCTTATTATCTATCTGTCTGTTTATTATCTATCTATCTATCTATCTATCTATCTATCTCAGTATGTTTATTATCTTTCTGTCTATCTCAGTGTATCTATCTATCTATCTATCTATCACTGATTTTGTATTTTTACATTGTTAATAATTTTAATTTTCAATATAGACGGTGCTGCAGAAATACTTCCCATATTTAAAGGGTTTTCAAAATTAACAATATAAGTGCAACTGGAAGGATTATTTCATTGATGTTTAATCAGAGGGTGATATTTCTTTTCTTCATTTAGTAATAAAAATGACATCCTCTACATGCTGGCCTCTATTCGTCCTGCAATGTAGGGGAAGATTTCTAAATTTTTCCACCATCCTAACGTTCGAGCTCTTCGTCCTCTTGCATGTGGCTTTCCTTTAAGCAATAAAATTTGTGACCCTGAAATGTTCAACAAATATCAATATCGATTTTCTAGCCGGAATATGAAATTAGCACAAAAGACTCTGCTACAATTACAGATTCACCAGTCTTAAAACGACCTTTCAAGAACAAACACACGGTATGCCCCGGTCTAAGCTATGATTTTAAGTAATGGTATCTGAAAAAAAGCGGTTGGACATTAGCTGAATGAAAATACCATTGCTATTTGCTAAATTCACTAGTACCACACTCGTGTGGTATCGTATTTCTGCCCTATCCTGTACAGGGGGTGATGGATAAATTTTCGTTTAAATTAAGCAAAGATTAAATAACACTGATATCTCATTTTAACAGATATATTTACAAAAGATTACGCAAAAGTAACTTGAAATATTAAAGAGCATTAAAATGTTTTATCCCTATACCTATTACGCAAAAATGAATATAAATCTTACGTCTCATTTTAACAGATATATTTGCAAAAATTGCACAAAATTATCTTGAACTTTTAAAGACTAAATTTATTCAATGAAATCAATATTGGCTTCAACCACGCCCTCTATACGATTTCGGAATCTCCTGCAACTCTTCTAAACGGTCACTTTGTTTATATTGGTGAATAAAAGGATTGTTGTTGGTCGTTTTCTCAACTGCCTCTTGTACACAATAACCAAGGGGATTACAGTCTGGGGAGTTAGGTGGCCAGATGTAAGGAGTGGAATGGAGGAGTGCTAGCAGAAATTGTCTGGAAACCATAAAGGGGTGCTCCGGCTTTGTTATGGTGCAGAGTCCTGTTGCCAGAAATAGGGTCTTCCAGCAGGCACCCTCTTGATCCAGGGCAGCACTATCCCCTCAAGTCACTTGATTTAGGCCTCCCAGTTGAATCTGAGGGTCTCGTTAACAAATTCGGGCTGACATACTTGTGTAATCACCATTAGACTCATCTAACTCTTTCCAAATCCTCTGCACTGCCCTTCGATTGACAACGAAACACACTGAAATGCTTATACTGGAGCTTTCGATGTTAATTCCAAGCAGTACAGCATGCTGTTTCCGAGTGAATTGCATCATGGTGGTCTTTTTCTCATAGACTTTGCCCAACTGACCCTACTATATTGTGCAGTCGACAAAATCAAAGGCAAACAACACGCATGCGCAAAAGTAAAATGATAATATGGTGACAATGTACTCATCGCTCCCTGAATATACCCGCTGGAGCCGACAGCAATGGTTATCCGTCTTAATTTCTTATTCTATATCTATCTATCTATCTATCACTCTGTGTATGTATATATCCATTTTAGTTTTCAGTATATATTCCTTTTGGTTCTGTCAACAATGATTATCTATCTATCTATCTATCTATCTATCTATCTATCTATCTATCTATCTATCTCAGTCTGTTTACTCCCTATCTGTCCATCTATCTATCTCAGTCTGTTTATTATCTATCTATCTATCTATCTATCTATCTATCTATCTATCTATCTATCTATCTATCTATCTCAGTCTGTTTACTATCTATCTATCTATCTATCTATCTATCTATCTATCTATCTATCTATCTATCTATCTATCTATCTATCCTTGGCACTTCATTATCTATCTATCTATCTTTCTCACTTCATTATCTATCTACCTATTTATCTTTGTCACTTCCTTATCTATCTATCTATCTATCTATCTATCTATCTATCTATCTATCTATCTATCTATCTATCTCAGTCTGTTTACTCCCTATCTGTCCATCTATCTATCTCAGTCTGTTTTTATTATCTATCTATCTATCTATCTATCTATCTATCTATCTATCTATCTATCATATCTATCTATCTATCTATCTCAGTCTGTTTTATCTATCATATCTATCTATCTATCTATCTATCTATCTATCTATCTATCTATCTATCCTTGGCACTTCATTATCTATCTATCTATCTACTTCATTATCTATCTACCTATTTATCTTTGTCACTTCCTTATCTATCTATCTATCTATCTATCTATCTATCTATCTATCTATCTATCTATGTCACTTCATTATCTATCTATCTATCTATCTATCTATGTTTCCTCAGATAGAGCCTGACGCAAGTTACTTCCTGGGGCCTTCCAAGGAACTGACAATTTTTCAAGTATTTGCATCAATGGATTTCATATACGAGTTCCACTTGTAAATAACATTCTCTTCTACTTAAAATTTTTCCAGCTTTCCCAAATCAACCTTCTCCAGGCAGATGAATCTTCAGCAACAGTTTCCCATTCTTCAACATTAACGCCAAGATTCATTAGGCTACATTTAACAACATCCTTCAAATGTCTTTTGGGCTTATAAGCGGGTTGATTACCTCACCATAAAAATACATACATACAATTAACCATAAAAATACATACATGCATTCACACAAACATTGCTACTCCCTTTAATTTTAATTTCCAAAATATATTCCTCTTCGGAGAGAATTCCAGTGGTATTTTTGTTCATTTATTTTGTTTATTTCTAGTCGCATCTGCATAATATTCACGCGGATATTCGAGATGGCAACAAATGCAGTGAACCCCAACGTTTTAACATCTAAACATTTAAAATTCGATAGGAAATAAAACACCCAGCTTTAACGTGTTAAATCATCCGAAGATTTACTTAACCTCTTCTTCCTATTTCTTTCTTTTAGTATCTCTCTATATTTTTAGATAGTGTATGTACATTATTTTCATTATTCAGACTATTGTCCTCATCTTTGTCGCCATATTTATCACAACGTTTCGGCTTTTGTACGCCCCAGCCTTCTTCAGGTGGTTGGAATGTCGAACTGAACCATTTATTTAGCTCACGTACCATGTCAGTTTTCAGTTATCTCCTGTTAATTTCCCTCTGAAAGTTCTCCACAAATCGGGTCTCACACTCTTTGGGTCTTGTCACTGGATCTAACTAACGCCTTTATCCACTGTGCCATGTGTCTTTGAGGATATCTGTGTATGAATTTCTGGGTATTATAAACTTAATGTCTTCAGTAAGCATTTTCTACCAGTGCTCATATTATCAGTGCTGTTATCATTGCATTGTAAGTTCTCCATCTGAAGAAGGCCGGAGCGTACAACGGCCGAAACTTTGTAATAAATATGGCGACAAAGATGAGGACAATAGTCCGAATAATGTAAATAATGTTCTTTCTTTCTTACTATTTCCTTCTTTCTTTCTTTGTTCTTACTTCTTTCTTTCTTTTTTCTTTCTATTTATTCCTTTCTTTCCTCCTTCCTATTTCTTTCTTTCTTTCTTTCTTTCTTTCTTTCTAAATATGTATGTATTGTATGAAAACCATACCAAGTGTTGACCCAAGCTTTGTGAATGAAATCGATAGACGGAAATCTTGAGGGCCGTCGATAGGTGTGCTAGCAAAAAGCTACAAATCATCGTGGCGAGGGCTTGAGCGTGCTGGCCTTGTTCAAATTGTTGACCACGCTAGATAACATGCTCCCTCCCGGTAAACGTCACTAGCCGCCTTAGTAGATAGGTATGCTCGAATACGAGTGGCCAGCTATGTATGAATGTATTATGTTTGGGCGCGTGGTCGAGTGCTTAGAACATTTGCTTTCTGACTGTGAGACTCTGGTTGGATACTCACCATGGTTGATTCGTCAGTAGGTCGACGTGATGTGGTCGGTCTGGAGATGGGGATCCCAGCGTGCGGCACCTTTGGAAAGTTTCGGAAAGCCTTGTGAGTGAAGATGGGTAGACGGAAGCCGTTGATGGTTGTGCTAGCACAAGTCATCGTGACCGAGGGTGCTGGGCTTGTTGGTCAAGTTTTCATACGTTCTATCTAGCATGATTGTTGATCACGATAGAGAACATACGTGGGCTTTGTAGGTGTTGAACAAACAGAATTGTGCCTGAGCTGGCGTCTGCAGTAGGGATTGCCTAGACAGCCAGCTATTATATTATGTACTTATGTATCTATCTATTTCGGTGCATTTGCCTGATTATATTTATTAGTAGCTGCCAATGAGTTTTCTGCTTGCACAAGGCTTGGAGTGATATTGAGGCAAGTAGCCTTGTTAGAAGTAGAACTGTTTACTGTCAATAGAGGATCTGTTATTAATGGGATACAATTGAGACTTATCGTTTACGCCGCCGTAAGATCAAATATAATTTCCGAGTAGAAAATACAAAGAATAAGTATTAAGATATTTCAGCCAATAAGACAACTTAGCGCCTAACAAATTCGCATCTATCAGTGCCATAAAATAAACAGGACACCAGTCTGTGAGAATATATGTCATCAATCGAACGGGTTCCTTCAGTGTTCTCTGCAACTTTTAACATCGAAAAGATACCTATATTCCTTTGAAACTAATTGTAGAATGATTCTTAAAATAAGAACACCTTTTCTTTCGAAGGTAAACACTTGAAAAATCTTATCATGTTAAACTCATGTTTTCATTCTTTTTTATAACATTAGTTTTGTTTTATTTGAACAAGGATTATTTTACAATTGAAGTAGTCTTCTGAGATGTAAAAAAATATAGCTGGTTATCTTCTAGTGTACACGTTCTTTCTAATACTACACATATACTTTCAAAGTTCTAACAAGCCACAGCTGAAGAAGTCAATCAAATATAAATCTCTTTGATTCATTCGCGTATAGTCACCCAAAACTGAAAACATTAAAGAAATATGGCTAATATATTGATTGAATTATTCCTTTGTACT